GGGGGGGGGGGGGCACTCGTCATGCCTGTTTACAGATGAGGAAACTTAGGCACAGGGAGGTGAAGCGGTTTGTTCAGACCAGAAAGTTAGTAAATGGTAAAGCTAGGACTAAACCCAGGCATCCTGGCTTCTAATTTTATTTCCTTGTACTCTTAAAACAACCAGTCCTCCTCTATCTGATTATCAACTAAATCATTTTTATATTTTGGCAAAGAAGGCCAAAGCTAAAGTGTATTTGGTACTTCAAGCAGCCCTCGAAGCCCTGTTGCGGAGTGTGAGCTCCGGAATCTCCGAGGCGGGCTGCCCATGAGGACAGTGACTTGGAACTAAAGATGAGGGAAATGGTGCCAGCTTTTCTCACCATTTTAATAACTGCATTACTGTGACTGTATGCCCTTCTTGGTGACACTGATAAAACTTTTTTCCCCCCCACAAAAAATATTCTTAGTCTAAACTTTTTTTGGTTACTTTCGAATGGTCATGACAAAGAGGAAAAGAAAAACCAACGACCTCTAAATTAAAATATGTGGGGATCTTTTCACCTCAAACTCAAACTCCATAGACCAGGCATCGGCTGATTTCTTTATTTTAGTGCAAAATTTACAGAAAGTTCTTATGTGTTTCCTATCTGCTCTCAGCAAAATCTTAAATTTATTGAGAATCCTACTGTGAAACATTTCTGCTCAAATTTTTAACTGTTATCCTCTCTGTAAATCAAATCTTGAGTGAGAGAGTTCAATGCTAACAGAGCTTGTACTTCCAGAGGGTTGGGGGGTTACAGTTTAAAATGTTAAGTCTTTTACTGGAAGAGCCTTGAAAGTGAGATCAATATGATTGTTACTTGGCTTTTCGATAACAACGGTAAACTTTCCCAACCCTTTGCATTTAATTTTCTAAGCTTATCACATGGCTCATGTACCATGTCCATGATCTCTTAGAACTTTAGAGAATTTCTGAAGCGGGGAGAAAACAAGCAAACAACAACCAGCCACTGTTCTGTTCCGCTAAACTTCACCCCGTGTTCTGCCTGATTCTAATTACCTTAAACAATTTACCCAGGATGCTTCAGTATAACCACCTGGAAAAATGAGGGTGGAACTTTGATTCTGGGAGGCATATGGAAATTTAATTACTAGGTTTACAAAGTATTTTAAAATCCCCAGATAAAAGTGACCAGAGGACGGGAGAATATCATTATTAGCATTAGTGGGCTATGTGTGGTGGGGAGTAGGGGTTGCTGAGAGTCAAAGGCCCATGTCCCTTTCTCTGCACTGGCCTTCAGCCCTGTCCTCTGCAACCAGCCTCAAGGGGGATGGAGAAAGAATCATTTATTCACCTTCTGGCTGCAAGAAGTGCAGGCTTCCACTGTGGCAGTTCTAGCACCGAGGAGAAAATACACATAGGAAAAAAGAAGGCCATGTCTCACTTCCAAATTAAAAAAAGACATTTCTACATGTTTCCATAACCCACAGACTGCTGCCATTTGAGGCCAACCCCTCAAAGTTTCCCTCTTTGTCTAGTGCAGTTGCTGAATCTAGGCCACTGTCAGCAATCCTTTCATTCACCCAGCCCATCCCCACGCCTCACAGATGCAGAGGCTCTCTTGAGACATGTGTACTTTGGTATCAAACAATGCAACTCATGTTTGATTTTGGATAACCTTGCACTGCTGAATAAAATAACCCTTGAGAAAGAAGCAATAAAAGCGCTGTAAGAAAAATGACTCATGTTTCGAAGCTGTCTAAAGTGATCACTTATCCAAACAAATGGTAATTCTTTCAAGACATAGTAGGCATGCACCATACTTATAAAAGTCTGGGAGAAAAGCCTTGCAAAAAAAATTTTTTTAAAATTTGTGTTAAAATATATCAAAAGAATGTTTCTGGTAGGCTGTCCCAGACAGGGTATGCTTAAAAATAAAAACAAAAACCACATGCATGTAAAAGCCAAGGTGGGTTGGCGCAGGGGGAGGTCCCTGCCCAGCATCGGGCTCCTTGACTTGTTTATGTACTTGTTTATGTGCCTCTAATTGTTTTCCATTTTCTGCCCCCATTCGCTAGAGTGCAAAGATGTGAACAAAGTGGCTTACTGCCCACTGGTGCTGAAGTTCCAGTTCTGCAATCGAGCATACTTCAGACAGATGTGTTGTAAGACCTGCCAAGGACACTGACCCACGGAAAGCCAGAGAGAGCCTTGTCATTTCATCGTGGAAATGTGTCCATCAAAGAGAGCCACCCGGAGGAGGAGGACTGATGTCCTTGCAGATGCATTACCCTGTGGAAAACGTAACCACTGGTCAGCCCTAGCTGACAGGATTTCAATATTATTTTAACTTCTGTGAAGTAGGATTTATTGATCCAAAGTGCTGGACACAGTTTTAGGAGGGAATGCCAGATTGGAGAGATCCAAACAACACAGGGAGACTTGCTTACTGTGGAGCGTTTGTGTTCTTTCGAGTAAATCCAATAGCCTGTTTACCTCCTTGGACCATTAAGATGATTTTTATTATAGACTTAGCAATGACACTGAATCCATTTGTATTTAAAACTGTTTAAAATGTAGCTGTTATGACTTGGTCGACTATGGAAGTAAAGAAGGTTCAGAAATCTTAAGTCATAGCTTAAAAATATTTACTATACTTTATCTCACTACGACAGCACCACCATTTAAATTCTAAAATGGGCTTTGAACTGTAATTTAAGGAGCAATTATAAATCAAAAGTAATGAAAGTCTGTATGATTTTTTTCTTCCTTCTACTTAATTTCCTTAGGAATAATCCCCCTGTTCTGAACACTGCTGTGAGCCATATATAAACTAGATTAAACCAGACAACAGTGAAGGACTTAGTTTAAGGCAGCGCACCAGTTACTGCAGCTGTGCCGCTCCATAAATTCAGTGCTAAGACTGTGGCCAGCCTGCCGTTGTGCGAGTGGAGCTGAGATTTCCATTAACACTTTGAGAAACACTTCAGTGTCATGCCGAAGCCAGACCTGGGCTATGGTCGAGACCAAAGTACCAGGCCCTTGGCTGCCATCACACGGGGACGCCTCAGCTCTTAATATGAGCCGCTCCAGATCCCGTGTGTACATCGCACCGGCCTCGGAGTGGCTGCTGCCCCGCCGGTGGCTGCACGCGTGTTAAGCTTACTGAGACGATAGCATGCAGAAGACAGACTGGCTCGGTGACCACCAGGCAGACCCTTTTGCTGACCATTACGATGGGTTCCAGATGTCCCTTCTTTAATATGGCAGAAGGGCATTTATTTATATGGGAGCAAGTGTGTGTGTGCGTGGGCGCTTTTGAGTGTGTGGGTAGATGCGTGTGCTTGCACGTGAACGTGCGATTTCTGTGAGTTTTAAAGTAGGCAAGGGATAACAACCAAAGAAGAGAAACTCATGAAGACTGGAGATCATAAAGCATAATTGTAATAGTCACTCAACCAAGTATTTTATATTTTTATGGCTATTCAGAACCACAGTTAAATGTGAAACCCAGTTCCTTGAGCAAGTCCAAGTCTAGAATCAAATCCACCTAATTTAAATGGATTAAATTTAGCTCATACGTTCCCTATCCACAAGGTTCACATCATGCTCATCAAAAGAGATGACAGTGGAATTTTTTAAAAAAGGAAGGAGAAAAAGAGGGTACTTGTTTATATTGATATTTTGTACTTGAACACTTGCAGCCTGCAGCGGGTTCCGATGAATGTGCTTTGTGTCCTACACGTGTGTCCACCATGCTACACCAACACCTCAGGCTCGAACCAAATGGCTACTTTGTAAAGGTCCTACTTGCAGTTGAAGAGTCTGTTTGACTTAGGTCCATCTCTGTGCTCTGAGACTCCGCGTCAGGTCTGTACCCTGACCTGGTGGGGGTGACTAGGTGCTTTCAGGAGGGGAGACTCCCAGGCCTCAAACACCAGCCTACACTCCAGGTTTGCTGTGGAGCCGGCACGGGATGCCGTCTGCACGCCGAGTGGTGCTCGTTTGTATCTCATCACCTGCCTTCTCAACCCCACGGCTCACACCCCTGAGCTTTCTGGGGAGAGCTGTTGATACTTGAGAGCAGTTGCCAGGGCCCCTGTCCATGCTGCCCTGAGACCAGCCCGAGTGCCGTCTTAGCCATTCAGTGACAGGAGGGCCGCCCGTGGGCAGCGTGGCTCCAGCACTGAATCCCCTTGGTGCTTTGCAAAGAGCAGTTAACTTGGTGCTAATGTGCCCTGGTGAAATAGACAAAAGGTGAGTGGTTTCTGTGGCATTTTAGGCACAGGTTTGCCATCAGGATCTGCTTTTATCCAACATAAACATCAGCTCATGTGTTTATTTAAAAATACTTCTTACATTTCTGATCAAGGACTATTTTTTACCTCACCTGGAAAGTAACATTTCGAGGGCCACCCTGCTGGGCACCATGCATGCCTGACTGGGTGTGGAAGGGGAGGTCAGCCAGCGCTCCCTCTGGGGTGTGCCCCAGCACTAGGGAGCGCCTTTTCAGAAGGAACCAAGCCGAGAATGTAACAGGATGAAACATCTTCAGAGAGGCCCTGAGTTCAACTCCGAGAGGGAGAAAAGTCACACTCCACAGCACATCACAGGACCGCAGCTGCTCTGTAGTCAGTCACGTGGCTACATAGGCTCTTTTCCTAAATAGTAACCGTAGGATCATCGTGGAGGCTGAGCCACCCTGGCAGACCCTCCAAAAATAGTGAGCTAGATAGACTACTTAGGAACCCCAAGGAGGCCTGTACCGTGGCTGAGAGCAGGGTCTGCCACTGGCAGGAAGGCCTGCCCCAAACGGAAAGGGAAATGTGCCCAACCGATTCAGCCCCTTGAGACACAGATGACCCCCCAATCAGTTCATTTCCTTAGGAATCATTTGAGTGAATGTCACATCGGTATCCTTAATAATACAGAATGAAATTACCTTTGTATTATTGTGATTAGTTGTTGCTTATTATTTTGTACTCAGTATTAATGTGGTACACTGTTACTTTTTTTTTGCTTTTGTAAATTATATTCTAATTTATTGCCATGTTTCCTTAACACTTGTCCTTCATTCATTCTCCTGCTTGTAATGAAAATGAAAAGTCATTGTAACACTTGATGGAGTGAAATTCCACACCAGGCACAGATTTTTTTAACATAGATAATTTAGTAAAAATAAAAGTTCAGCTTGTAAGAATGATTCAGATGGAAGTTGTCTATTTCTTGAACAGCCGATGTTAAACTTGCAGCCAGAGGGATCGATCCCTTGGAATACCACAGCTACGTTGTCCAGTTTTTCTTGGTAGCATCCAGGATTGAGTTAATATATTGAACCCTTGTCACCCTCCCCAGGGACTGCACCTACTTGTATTTCAGTAATATCTAAACGCAAGGGTTTTGGGTATTTCTGGTGGGGCTATATCCTCAGATGCCACCGGTAAGCTATTCTAAGAAAGGAAGTCCACATTGGCCACAGCCACATACTTCAGTTACTTGGCTCACAACTCTTTTGCCCCCTCCTCTTTTCCCGTCCATGTCAATTCTCAGCATAAGGAAAGATGCTGAACAAAAGAATTCATACTCAAAGGTTCCTGCTCAGAGTCAACGGGGAGCGTAGAAACGTGAGAGGCTTGCTTTTCCACCGTCTGACATTTAGTCTTTGCTGAGCTGGGGGACCCTGTCTTATGCAAAGGAAACTCAGCAGCCAATATGCAGCTTAGCTATCTCAGGACTTTCACAATGACAACTCCATTGATTACATAAGAAGGTGTCGAAAGCCCAAGCATGGTTGTGCTTTAATTCACTTACCCCCATGCCTCATACACACCCCTTCAATCTTACACATTAGAAGAAATCAGGTGAGATGATTAGATTGTCTTGGGGAGTATTTCCCCAAAGTCATCCTAGAAGCCAAAAGTGGCTGAAGTGTTATGAAAGCTCAGTCAATGAGAAGACCCTGGGACCCACCGTTTCAGCCTCCCACTGCATCTGCAGAGAGTAGTTCTGCTAAGGGTGGGGAGGGGAGATACCAGGAAACAAGGCCTGCCTTCGCTTAGATTCCTCAGATTCCAGTCTCTTTTCAACTACAGTTGTTTTTAGCCTTTCAGTTAAATTTTTTTCCCTCTCTTTGAAATGTCTAAAGGGCACCATCCTGCTTAGGCCACTGACCCCAGGACAATCTACCCTCCCTGGAGACTCTGCCACTCTCTGGGGAGCGTTAGGACCATCCCTAAGACTTTATGTTCCAAAAGGCCAGGCGATGTTTTTTTCAAGTAAATAAGAAAGTTGGGTATTGATCTTGGCAAGAAAAATGTGTGAATTTATTTGACTAGGATAAGATTCATTACTTTTAAAAGAAGGGGGAAAAAATGTAATTCAAGAAGGAAAAAAAGGAAAAAGTTCACAGCCCATGAGGACTGGAAGATTCTAAATCAGTGGTCACAGGAAAGAGGAAAGATCAGCCACTGAATAAAAAAAGTGCCAGAGAAGCTGTGTTTGGAATTCTGTCTCATTCGTATCATCAGAATGTGTGGAATAAACTAACATAGGTTTTTAAAAAGAACAGCTGTTCACAATGGTTTTATGCCTCAGACTTCAAAACCTCAAGCTGGGACTTAGAAGGAAAACGATCTTTTCCCCCCGTCTCTTTCTCAGAGGGTTACCTCCAGCATTCCTTGTCCCTCACTTACCCTCAGATAGTGCCTGAGGCCGGGAATGGAACAGTGGTTGAGGGCTGGCTTCACCCTGGGGTGGGGGGAACCAAGCTTAGGCCTGTACTGTCTTTCGGTGGATGGCCCTCCTTAGCCCACTGAATGCTGTGAGCTGCATGGGTGATGAAAGCTCATTTCCACAGCAACATCCTGTGTTCACTGGGACAGCAAGGGCCCAAGGGCGCCCGAGGCCCCACTCCAGGGACTGGGGAGCCTGAGGAGTCCTGCTCACTCTGGTAATAGAACATCATGCCTGACCAGTCAGAGTCCACTGCCCAAGACCATGCGGCTTGTGAAAGTTCAATCAAGAGGTCTTTTCCTAGCCCTGGCTGGGTAGCTCAGTCAGTTAGAGTGTCGCCCCCAATATACCAAGGTTGCCGGTTTGATCCCCGGTCAGGACACATAGAAAAATCAACCAATGAGTGCATAAAAAAGTGGAACAAGAAATGAATGTTTCTCTCTCTGTTCCCCCACCCCGCCATTCCCTCTCTCCCTTCTTCATTCTCTCTAAAATAGAAAAAGAAGAGATCCCTTCTTGGATCTTGGCTTGGAAGCCTTCCCTTAAAGAGAAGTTCCACATTAGAAGGGACAAGTGATCCCACCAGCTCCAGACCTCCCAGAAGTCAAAATGCCTTCCCCTGGTCAATGGCTCAACAGTGGGTGGTGTCTACTAGCTCCAGGCCAATAAAAGTCTTGGAGGGGCCTGATCTGTGCCCCCACCAAGGGCAGTTGTGAACAGTAATTGTGAGATGAGGCCCCTAAAATCCCAAGCAAATGTAGCAGCAGGAATTTCCAGTGCAGGCCAGGTGTGGCCTTTGTGTCTACAGAGGGTATTAGCCACGGCCAATCATTTATATGACCAATATTTGCTGAGTACCTGTTGTGCAGGGCCTAGTGCTAGGCACTTAACATGTGCTTTCTCACTGAACAAAACTACGAGGAAAATACTTTTAATCCCCATTCACAGGTGCCAAAACTGAGGCTCAGGGAGGCTAAGCTGCCAAGGGCCACAGAAGCAGTGAGGGGAGGGACCATCACTTCTTCAGCACAGGGAAGGGAGCCGCCTGGTTTGCATTTGGGACAAGGAAATTAAGAAGGGTGCCCCCCTGCCAGAGAGACACTGACTCACCAGGCCAGAGGGCAGGGGGTCCTTCCTGGGAAGCAGTGGGCCCAAGGCCTGGGGAGGGACCTCAGGGGTCATGGAAAAGGAGAACTCTGGGCTCCTGTCTCGGCAGGTGGTGGTGTTCACCATGACGATCCCTATGTCCAGTGACAAACTACCAGTGGGGGCCCCAAGTGGTTTCTGAGCATGGAGTTAGAGTCCGCAGGAAGAGACATTCGAGAACGGACCGTGTCTGCGGTGGCAGCCAGCAGCCAAACACAACACGGAGGCTCTGACCTCCCTGAAACGTCCTGTTTCGAATCATAGAGCCTGGCCCTGCCTGACAGCCCACCGCCGCTTCCACACACGCCAGGTGGCCTCGCTGACCTATTTCAACACAACTCCAGCCGGATGATTCCCGTGCTGGCTTTAGGGTACACTTTGAGAAAGAAAGGTGGGTTTTTCTCTATTTTAGTCAGAGCAGGGCCATCGGGGCTTGAGAACTTGGGCCATTAGGTTGCTGCCAGCAAGCACATTCTTTGACCTTCTGCGGTGGGTCCAGAGAGTGGAACCAGGTGTTCTTTCAGCCCATGCCAGAATGCACTGGCCGCGCAACTGGCCACCTGCCTCCACCCCACCGGCGGGGCTTTGGCTGGCCCTCCACCAGACAGCTGTGCTGGGAGCCACAGGTGGCCGCCCACGCTTATGCCCAGGCCAGCAGCTGCATTGGCCTGGCTCGGCCTGGCAAATGGACCTCATGTCCCTCTGCCCCTTTGCCCCAACTCCTCCCCAAGCCAGGTCACTCAAGGGGCTGAGGAGAAGGAGAACCAAAGCTTAAATGCACTAAAAAATTGCTTTTGTGGTTCAAAGGCAATCAAAAAGCATCCTGTTCTCTCCTCCTTCAATATGATTATGTTTGGTATTTTATTTCAATCATTCAAATTTACCTGTTGTAAATTAATAGATAATTAGGTCCTGTTTGTCAGGCGTATTATTGTTAGAATAAAAATCTCCTGATGCTGTGTAGCTATATAAATATAAAGGCAAAGGTAGGTGACATCCCATCTTCAAAAAAATAGCCATATCTGGGAAACCACGCTAGGAATCTAGACTTTAAAAAAAGAGCATTATTTGATATTCTGTAACAACACCCACAGAAGTGGCTAAAATATGAGTTTGAATAAAAGTGGGTAGCAAGAAAATGTTATCACAGCTAAGCTAATTGCCATTAAAAAATCGTTTGATTCATAGTCTTAAACTTTAGAAGAGAAAAAAGGAAAAATTGAGAAATTAAATATTTTATTTTGAGATTAAAAAGAGCAAGTGTTTGTTGATATTACGAAGCAAGAGATCCTGGAGCCAGAGTTAGCCTTGAAGATTTTCTGGACGTAGGCCGAGCCAGGAAGATATCCTTATGTACTGCAGTCCGGGTCCGAGGCCCCGCCAATGTGGGAAGCTCCGCTGGAGGAAGTGTAGGGGGCCCACTATTTTAATTCGTCCCATATTTAATCTCAGCTGGAGAAACTTCATGCACCAACTATCTCTTATGTCTGGCTTCCTAAATGAATGTTAGAACTTAACTCTCCCAATGAGCGTTGTCTTCTTTCATGTGAGCACTCTCTGTACTCATTCTAAGAGTAAAATCGTCATTCAAAACTTTTTTAAAATTGCTTGTTTAGACTATCTCCCATTATAGGGTGGATTTGATTTTTGTGACAGTCTACAACCAAATCTGGTGAGTAAATTGCATATAATCATCTTGGCTGCAAATATCTTATGTGTCTTACAAATTGACCCCAAGTGATGCTACAGAAGGAACTCCAAATATGCTCTGAGTAGGTGACGGCTTGGATGGATTTCACTCAGTTGTGTACAAAAGCGCTGGTGTTTTGTCTAAAAATTATTGGCATTACTTTACAATCCAACTTAAAATTGAGATAATATTAACATTTCACCGCATGTTTTGCTATTTCCAGTTCTAAAATTAGCTGGAACCTGGACCACCTACCTGGCGTGTTATCTGTTAGGGAGAAGGGAGCGCCCTGACCCCTGGGAATTGAGTAAGCCTTAAATCCAGAGGCACCCCACTATCCAGGCCCCAGAGGTGGGCAGACAGCTGTTCTCACAGGGTTGTCTTTCCTGGAGCCTCTGGAGGGAGCTGTCCTTCCAGAAGGGCTGGTCACCCGGGTCCAGCAGCAACGTCGAGGCTGCGGCTGAGGGGGTGAGACCAGGAGCTCGGCCTCCTCGCGCTGGGGCGGCAGCCACTTCGGGGCGAGCGTGTTCACACATGAGGGGCCCCATCTCCTTCGAAAACTTGTTATTGAATTTATTGGGGTGACATTGGTTAATAAAATTACATAGGTTTCAAGTGTACGATTCTATAACACA